AAAACATATTTACGTTGATGTTTGTCAAAAGGTTAACATATTATAAAAATTACTAAATGTTAAAAGAAAACTTCTGAATTTTTTCAAAAATCTTTTATTTTGTTTATTCTTGTAAWTAATTATTAGAATTATTGTTTGATGTTGAAAAAATAGACTAGCTGTGAATAGCAATGATGTTCTAGAAGAGTAATTTTTCGTTTCATGTTCAAAGTAAATTTCTATGGTACAATTGTTTTCTTCTGTAAAATTTGAAAATTGTTGTAAATCTCCTCTCAACATTTTTGCGATTCATAAAATGTTTTTAGACTTGWTACTAATTTTTATTCTAACCATTGTGTTTCCATGGTAACCAATCAGTTCAAACTTATGACTTTCAAACTATTAACTCCCTTAAAAATCTCACGTTAGTTAGAATACAATAGTGCATTCAAGTACACTCGGTAATTTACAGTAAAATCGTATGGAAAACTAGTCTACAACACTCGGCAATTTGAAGTATATAATAACTAAAATGTATTTACCTCAAAATTATAAGTATAAATTAAACGTGTTATTCCTGATGACTATCAAATTATTTACGTTACCTGCAACATTTTTTTTATAACTCAGTAATTTGAATTCTTTTATACCTTTGATATCTTGAACCACTCAACTATTCAAAAACATGGCAATTCCAAATTTTTCTTAAGTCCCAACAACTTTGAATGATCGAGAGTCGACTGTGTATATAGTTGGTTATGTTTTGGTATTGAGTTATATCAATTAGTAGTTATTCAATTACATCAATTATTTTCTTAACAATTTTGTGCAGTCAATATCATTAACCGTCAAAAATTTGTATATGATTCAATGACGTTTTTTCTTTGCAATTGAGAAATCTTTATATCTATTTTACAGAAAAAAAAAAATAATTTTTTTTCYTAATTAATAAATATGTTATACATTAATGTTTTAGACTAGTGTTTTATCTCATGATGGAACTGAAGCAAAAAACTCCACTTCAAGTTCTGCCATATCAAAACAAAAATCAATTACTAACACTAATCGATTGCCATCACCACCACCAAAAAAAATTAAAAAAGAAGATGCAAAATTAAATAATACATTTGCCACACTTTTTGGGTCTCCAATACAGCCTTCAAAGTTACCACTGACTACATCAAAATCAACATCACAAAAGTTGTCTTCCTCAGACAAATCGCAAATTAAAATTAAGAGTAGCCCACATCATAAAGAGGATAAAAAAGATAAAGACAAAGAAAGAGATAAAGAGAAGAAGAAATCAAAAGAATTATCTATAGACAAGGTAAAAAAAGATAAAGACAAAAAAGAAAAAGAAAAAACTAAAGAAAGTTCTGAAAAATCAAAGTCTCTCAAACAAAGTAGTTCTAAACCTGAAAAAAAAGAATCTAATCATCATGAAAAAATTAAAGAAAAGTCAAATGACGCCAAATTAGAAAAGAAAGAATTTAAGGATAAAAGCAAACGGGATGATAAAGTAAAAGAGAAAAATAAAGACAAATCTCATAAAGATGAAAAGTCATACCATGAAACCAAGATTATAAAACAAGAAATAAAAACTGATTTTAATGATCAAGAAAAAAAGAAACATAAAAATTCGCCAGAATCAATTAAAATAAAGTCTGATAAAAAAATAGAAAAATCTGAAAAATCATCTAAACCTCATAAAAGTCACAAAGAGCATAAGAAAAGAGACAAGAGAGATAAAGAAGAAAAATTAATTAAAAAAGAAGAAAAATCTAGTTTTGTTGAACAAGAATCTTCATATAAGCACCTTGATATACCTCAAACAGCTACATTAATAGAAGAGTTTCCAAAAGTTAAGGAAGAAATACTAGAGTGTTTGCAGCCACCAAAAGCTAATTCTTCAAGAGTTCATGAACCTGAGCTCGAGTCTGAAGAAGAATTTCTTTCTGAAGATAGTGAACCACCTTATCAACCACCAGAACCACCAAAGCCTAAAGAACCAGAACCACTCAAAAAGAAGCTTTCTCCAGAAAATAATTTTATAAAAAAGAAAAAACGAAAAAAGAAGGAACGTGACACAGAAGAAACTAAACCAAAAACGAGCCGACTGGAAATTGCAGAACATGTACGAGAAACGTGTTCAGACATTTCTAGATCGCCATCACCGTCRCACAGTAACAACAAATTTACAGATGAATATATAAACTCATTAAAACATCTTCAACATAAGATAATGATGCTAGAAGATGAAGACCTTCAAAGGGTAGTTACTGTAATAGCCGAAACTGGACATTATGAAATAACTACAAAAACTTTTGATTTTGACCTCTGTGCTTTGAATGAAACTACTGTGAAAAAATTACAAGAACTTATTACTTAGTTTATTTAACTTATAATATATCCATACCCATACATTTATATATTTATATTAAACTTTAATTTACTTGTTTAAAACTGATAACATAAGTAAATAATAGCAGACTTCCAAAAATAAATAATATAAATTACCTTTTGTTGGTATGTATAAATTTTGTTGTGGACAAGGCTATATGACTGTATTTATATGGTATAATAAATGATAATAGTATTGTAAATAACAATGATTATGATGTAATTTGCGATGAGAAAATATATTGTCCAATATTTCCCTGTTATGGACTTATTTTTGAATCGTGTGAATTTTAATATGAATTGTTTTTTTTAGTAGTTAAATATTCTCTTAAATTAGAAGAAATTTTATTGTACAGAAATAATTTTGAAAGCTTTATTTTTAACTACACATACATTTTTTTTGGGAGGGGGTTCAAAACTGCCAAAGAACTCTGAATGGTTGTTTAAAACTTTTTTATGTATCATAATTCTTTAAATTTTATATTCAAGTATTTTTCATTGATAACTAATCATTTGTAAGTAATTAATTTATCTTATAAGTTATTGATTTTATTTATTTTTTTTGTCTAATTTTAGAAACAAGTATTGTTCGATGTTTTTGTTGCCTTTAAATTATAAATTATTTTAAAAATCATAATATTGCATTATGAATTCATTGTTTTTTTTTTTAATTTTCATAATTTTACTTCTATATTGCTTTAATGAAATGTTGTATAGTTATTTTGTATAGTTTCATAAACAAACCGAATCATTAATAATATAATTAATTAATTAGAAGCAACTTGATAACATACACTTTGAAAAATATAATATTTTATCACTAGAAATTGTTGCAAATCATGCAACGACATATTGGTGCATCATGGTGGGAGAGAAAGCAGACAAAATAAAAATTGCCGTGACTGGATTTATTGAATTTAAATACGTTAAATATTAAAACTAATTTGTTCTATTTTTATGAAATGTTATGTATATTTCGTATATGTATAAGACCTACACTAAACGAATACTTAATTGTAGATTTTTTTTTACCAATATTTGGTAGTTGGTTAAAAAAATAAAAAATTAATTTTTTAAAAATTGTTTTCAAATCATTCCTAATTGTTCCAACACGAGTATTGACTATTGACAAAATGTACGCAATGAATTTACGATTTCTCTCGGACGATCATAATAAATTAATATTTAATTAATTACAAAAATAATCGTAATAATTGGTACCTTCATACAATCGTCATTAGAGTATTAGACAGGACACGAGGACTAAAATTTAAAATATCAGCAGTTGGAATGTTGGATTGGGATAGCAGCAAAAAAATTACTAACCCCGAAGTCTTACTCATAACATGCCACAGTAGGTATATTCGAAAAAATTGTATTCAATTTCGACAATATGTGGTTAAAAATAAGTGGAAAAAAATTGAGTGACTAACTCATTTTCTCCAATTTTACTGGAATWAAGCATAATCAAAAATGTATTTAAGCAACTTATTTTTATTTACTTATGGTATATATATGTATATGACATCAGCTGACGAGAAAATGTTATCTTTAATCAAGTCTTGTTCGAAATGATACCTAATTAATCGCAGACCTTGTATCTATGATCTTAGATCGTATACATTAAATAATATAATAATATTATGCTATGCTATGATCTAATCATATGGCAAATTGACAATATTTACTTTGTCATAAAGGTTGTACAACTTGTACCACAGTCCACAGACTAGATTAAAATTTTATAATTTATTGTTTAATCCAGAGGGGACTTCGACCTTTTTATGTAGCGGGCCACATATTGTTTACTTTTTTAAATCTTGCCGGCCGCATTYGTAGCAAATAMATGCATTTTATGTAAAAATTCAGTTTTATTATTACAATTTTTAAAATTAGGTAGGTAGGTACATTTAAAATTACAAATTATTATTATTATTAAAACATATACCTATAGATAAACATTTTT